GATAAGAATGAGGGGGCGCCCGACCACGCACCCAGGGGCTCTGTAAGACTGCTCGGCCCCGTCACTTCTGGTTCTGGCCTGAGGCTGAGCAGTGCAAGAGTACAGACGGACAGGGGGCAACCGTCCGCAGCCTACACCCCCACTTCCACTTCCTCCGTTTCCTCCTCCACCTCCACTCCCCCCCTTTCTCCTCCACTTCCTCCCTTTCCCCTTCCATTTCCAGTGCCTCCCCCGTCCTCCTCCACCTCCATTTCCTCCCTTTTTTCTTTCTCGAAGCTCTCTGGGGTTTCTCGGGGACCCTCGTGGCCTTCTCTTGCGACGTGGCCCAACTGAGGGGTATAAAAACTCGTCGGGAAACTTATGCCGGTTTTTTTCGTTGTAATTTGACAGGTAGGCGTGGCCCCGGGGAAAAAAAAACATGTTTTTATACCAGGTGCGCGCTCCACCAGCCCAAAGCTTTTCGACGGGGTCCCGAGAAAAGGCCGCACAGTTTTTCGACGGGGCCCCAAAAAAGGGCCGCCAAGTTTTTCGACGGGCCCGGGCGGTTTTTCGACGGGGCCGTCGGCCGGTGGATTTTTTACCCGATGACCCCCAAGAGGAGGCCCCAAGAGGCCCCAGGAGGCCCCATGAAACCCCAGGAGGCCCCAAGAGGCCCCAGGAGGTTCCAGGACCCAGGAGGCCCGACGAGGCCCCAGGAGGCCACAAAAAGTTCCAGGAGACCCCACGAAGCTCCAGGACGCCCCAGGGGGCCCCCGGAGGCCCCAGGATGCACCAGGAGGCCCCAGGATGCGCCGGGAGGCCCGAAGAGGCCCAAGGAGGCCACAGGAGGCTCCAGGAGGCCCCACTGGGGCTTTTTTCGAGTGGAAGGGTGCTGGCCATCCGCAGTGGGAGGGGAAAGGGAAGAGGAGGAGGAGGAGGAGGAGGAGGAGGAGGAGGAGGAGGAGGAGGAAGAGGAAGACGACGACGACGACGACGCAACGAGGATGACGGCGAGGATTTGTGATCGGACTTTGACTCAGCATTGGGTCGATGCTGACCGCGCTTGAAAGCAGCAGCAGGGCATCCTAGTGTTATTGCCTCGCCTCTGGCGGTGGCGGGCTCGGTCAGCTGTGTCCCGACGTACGGTGCGGAGTTTACAGAAAAACTTGCGCGCCGAAGGTGCCCTTGATCATTTTAGAACCGTCATCGGCGGGCAGCAAATGCCCTGAATAGTTTAAGGCAGTTCGAGTTGAAATTCTGAAAACTGGCACTCAAGTGCGCATCGAATACGTATAAAGAGCGCCGGCGCGCGGGAAACGCTTCGATCAGATGTCAAATCAATGCGTGGAGAATTTTTGCTAACGCTATCGTAACATAAATGCGTGGGCTTGCAAACATAACAAACTGCAGATATGTTGTACTTCATCTAGCACCATGGCGTCGTGTCTGGCGAGGCCAGGGAACACTCTCCGCAGTTCGTTGTCAGCGAGCGCTGTTTGCTCGGAGGTAGCGTGCAGTTGTTGGTTCTTGCATCGCGCGTGCCGCGAACTGCGCGCCCGCAAACTTAACGACGCGCTGCTGTCATAAATGGTGGCGTCGGGGCCCTCGCGCAGCCGTCGGCATTGTTGCAGCCCTGAGAGCTTTTGTAAGCCCCCAAACGACCGCATTTCGCTGTTCCCGTGCTTGGTACTTCTCCTAAGCGCGTCGGTAGTCGTGTGGGCGTCTGCCATTCCTGCGGGGTTGCGTCTTTCGCGACTCGGCCCCGCTGACCCGTTCAGCTTATGATGCGTCGGCGAATGACGTCGAAGCTTTGGCTGGACAGCGCCGTTGCCGTCGCGGTGCAACAGGCCCCAGCGGCCCCGCCGCTCGAACTCGGCGGGGGCCGAGCGGCGGGTGAATTCAGGAAATTTGAAAAGCGAGCTCAGCTCCGAGATCAGGCGCCCAGGTGCGGGCATTTGCCGCTTCCGGGCCGTCGGCACTTTGAGATTGCATTGGCTAGGTCGACGCTCCAGATTGTCAGGTCGCGCAATCAGGCACTGCGATCGCATCAAGATATGTTCAGAGGAAACAGAACATCCTCAACCAAAATCCACCGCTTCCCCCTTGAGGGGGCGCCGATGGTGACCTGTGGGGCCACGACCCGTGTGAGGGGCATGGCAACATCGGTGTGGGTGACGGATGCGGGCGGTGGCACTGGCGCCTTCAGTGGAGCTCCCTATGGGGCCACGAAACGCGTGAGGGGTGTGCCAGACTGGGCGTGGGTGACGCGTGCGGGCGGTGGCACTGGGGCCTTCGTTGGAGCTCCCTATGGGGCCACGAAGCGTCTGAGGGGTGTGGAGCTCCCTATGGGGCCACGAAGCGTGTTAGGGGTGTACCGAAATGGGATTGGGGGACGCATGCGGGCGGTCCCCTCTGGGGGCTTCGGTGGGGCTCCCTCTCGGGCCACGAAGCGTGCGATGGGTGTGCCAGATTGGGCGTGGGGGACGCATGCGGGCGGTCGCACTGGGGCCTTCAGTCGAGCTCCCTGTGGGGCCACGAAACGTGTGAAGAATGTGCCAAGTTGGCGCAACGGTGCAACCTATGTGGTGCACTTTTATGTGATGCAACGTGTGTGGTACAATCTCTGTGGTGCTACATCGGTTGCGCTGTCTATGGCGCGCAAACCTTGTGGTGCATTCCGCGTTGTACAGCTGATGATGTGTGAGCGATGTGTTGCAAACCATGCGGTGCACTCGATGTGGTACACTTTTTTGTAGTGTCATATCTGCTTCGCAGTCAGTTGGAATCGATTTCTTTTCAGACGATTGGAATGCAGTGCGCGACAAAGGCCCAGGCCAGGGGCGGCGACGACGCGGCGACGGGGCGACGGCGGCGACCACCACAGAGCCGCGCCAAACCGACCACGCGGCCCAGACGACGGGCGGCGATGAGGCGGCGACAGGGCGGCGACGGCGACCACGGAGCCGCCAGACCGACCACAAGGCACATATCCTTCAACAGAAGCGAGAACACCCAAGTGCAAGCACTCCTTGGGAAACGGTTGTGGCCTCTTCGGGCCTTCCTGGAGGACCTCTTGAAGGCCTCGTGGGCCGTCTTAGGGGCCTCTTGGGCGCTTCATGGGCCGTCTTGGGCTCTCTTGGACCATCTCGGCGGTCTTGGAGGCATCTTGGGGCCGTATTGGAGGCTATGTTGGGGCTATATTGTGCTCTCTTGGGGGCCATTTTGCCAGTCTGGGAGGCGTCTCGGAGGCCATCTGAGCCGTCTTGGAGGCGCCTGGGCCGATACAGGCGCAGTTTTGTGCAGCTCTCCGGGTGGCTGGCGGGCTGGGCCGAAGCCCGAAGGGGAGTTCTTTAGAGACGAGCCGGCAACGTGCCAGACACCCGGCACGCCGTGCACCCTTGTGGCAAGGCCACAAAGGGACGGCGGATCTGGTGGCCTGCGGCCCATCCCGTCACTGTGCCCGGGCGGGGTGGTTTGTCGGAGTCCTCATGGGTTTCTTTTGGGTCTCGTCGGAGGGTTCTCGGTGTCCTCCACGAGGCAGCGCTGACATCTCTTAGGGGGCCTCCTGGGAGCCTCTCGACATGTTGGTTCGTGTGTCCCCCTTTGGGATCCCTCTTGGAGCGTTTTTAGGGGCCGTCGTGGGCCGTTTTGGAGGCCTCTTTGGCCGCCTTGGGGGGCTCTTAGGCCGTCTCGTCATCCTCTTGGGGGGCCTCTTGGGCCGTCTTTGGGCGACCTTCGGGGGCCTGCTGTGCCGCCTTGGAGCGTTGGGAACCCGAAAAAGGCGGACATGCCACAATCCTTCAAACAACTAGGGCAAATCCATGATTGCTGCCTCTTGGGACCCTTCTTAGGAGTGCTGTTGGAGGCCTGTTGAGCCTTTTTGCAGGCCTCTTGGTCCGTCTGAAGGCCATCTCGGGCGTCTTTGAGCGATCTTTCGGCGATTTGGATCCCTCCTGAATGCATCTGAGGATTTGGGAGGTCGTTTTGGGCGGCCACCGCGTCCATAGGACCGCCAGGAAACACCCGAGAGCTCACGGGCGTAACCCAGGGAGATCCCGGGACGGTTGCAGCACCAGCACAGTTGTGAGTTTTGGGTACTACAATTATTGCCAGCAGCATTGTGGTGGATATGGTCAAGCCTTTGGTCTTGATGTTCAGGACGTCGCTGGTAATATTTCTAGTTTGAAAAGAGCCGCCCTCCATTGGCGTAACTGCTGCAATCGTTGAAGACTGCCCAAGTTTGAAAAGGAACCGTCGTCCATGATCAATGTTGTTGCAAACTTTTGGGGCGAATGTGCCAAGTGCCTAGGCGATAGCCACATTTCGACCCCCCCTATTTTTGTCGTAACTGTTGCAGACGTTTGCGACGAATGTGCGCGGCGCTGTGGCGAAATTCCATGTTGACCCCACGCCCCCTTCCTTGTAAATGCTGCATTTTGTTATGGCGAATATGCCCAGCGCTGAGGCGAGAGGCCCATTTTGGAAAACGACCCTCCCTCCTCTCCACCCGTGCAACCGTTTGCATTCCTTAAGTTTCAAGGGTCACGGTGTGTGAGCACGTCTCAGGCGGAACTCCGGGCCGGCCCATCGGCACATCGGGGGGGGTGCGACGCGGGGGAGTTATCTGTAGGGAGCGGGGGGTGGAGCGGGGTGCGGAGCACCAGGACACACTTTCCCGTAAAGAGGGCGAACTATTCGCCTCCTCCTCCCCTCTCCTCCTGGTTCGCATCCTGGTCCTCCCCCTCTCCCTTCCGAGGCCGGGGACTGAGACTGGAACGGTCTTTCGTTTTTTCGGTGCTTAGTTGCCTCGATACGCGCGTTTTGAAACGCAACACGTACCGTGATCAAGACGTCTGTGTCAACACGTTGCGTGTTGGCTCCACGTATTGGACCACGTTTTGGCGAATGTATCGCGTCGGACCTACGTTTTCAGCCTACCTGTTGAGCTCCGTATCAATACGATACGTGTTGCGCGTTGCGTATCGGGGCAGCTGAGCTTCGGTGCTCTTGGTCCACTGGAGGACCACCCGTACGACCTCGCCGACCATCTCACGAAGCTCGTCGGCCTTCCCCCGCCCCCGGGGCTCGGCCTCGACTTCGGGGAGATCGCCGTTCCCAACCGCACGCCGCTGCGCAGCAAGGCCGCAGGGGGGAGCGGTCGCCCTGGTCACAGAGAGGAAGGGGGAGAGTGATTAGTCAGAAGGGGGAGAAAACACAGACACAATTAATCGTCGATTCCACGGAAAGTATAGGAAAATATGGGAAGTTGGGGGGGAAGACAAACACCCAGAAAATATGGACAAGTATGGGGAATCCGGATATTTGTGTCTATTTGTCTGTGTGTCCCAGGGCCCTTTCATCACAGAGAGGAAGGGGGAGAGTGATTGGGAAGATCCAGGCCGCCCAGCTGAGCGACGCAAAGATCAGGGTCGTCTGCATGGACATTGGCGCGCAAGCTGCCCACGTAAGGTTGCGCGAAAGCGCCGTCATTTCCACTGTGGCGTGCCGCGCTGGCGGCCCGCGTAAGCCACCGCGTAAGTTTGCTGCGCCATCTCTCGTAAGACCTGTTTCTTCTAGTCGCTCAGATGTGACCCCATTTTGCTCCACCCCCACGCGCGCGGCCTCCTCAGGAGGCAGGCAGAAGGGGGAGGGACAGGTGGGAGGGAGGGGAGTGGAGGGGGGAGAAGGAAGAAGAGGAGGGCAAGCGCGATGGTGCAGGCAGAGGACCGCGAGAAGCGAGGCTCTGCACGTGAAGGACGAGACAGCTCCAGGAGGAGGCGGCGAAGGAAGGCGTGAGGATGGGGTGGAGGCAGAGGAGCACACTGAGGACGGCCAGATGGAGCGCAGCTCAGGCCCCAATGGGGGGGGCAGCGACGAACAAGGAGCAGGCGGAGGAGGAGGAGGCGGAGTCGGTCGGCGGCGGAGGAGCGCGGGAGGCGGTGGACGAGAAGGGGGCGGCCGTGGGGGGGGGGTACAGGAGGGGAGGGGCCGAGGGGCTCGGTCCTCCCAGGAGGAGCTGGTGCAAGTGGGGCCGGAGGAGCGCCGGGCGCTGCCGATGCGGCGCGTTCCCTGGGAACCGGTCTTTTTCGGCCCGACGTCGCCGGTGCGTCTGCGGTGCCGTGCGATCTTGCGGCCCCATTTGCTCTGGCTTCGACCCAGGGGCGCCCCGGCGGGGGGGGATTTGTGGCGAGGGGGCCGGCCGCGCGGAGGGTGGCGCGGGCACCTCCTCCCTGGCCTCGCGCAGGCGGCCGCGTTCTCGCCCCTCCGCAGCCAGGCCGAGGCGTTCGTCCCCAAGGCCGGGCGGCGCCTCACCTCGGCCCGGTTGGTCCTCTCGGCAACCCCGCCCGCCTCCAGGGATGTGCAGCCATCTGCTCCCCAGGAGTCTCGGGGGTGGACAGACCTCCTACCCTGACACGTCGATTAAGGAATTGGCCGTTTTCGGTTCGCGAGAGGGCGTCGCGGCCGTCGTTTTTGCGGGTCCAGGTTCCGTCGGTTTCGGTCCCAGGCCGTTTTCACTAAGGGGAGGTCTACTAAAAGGAGGTCTGTCCACCGCCGATAGTCCAGGCAGTGCGCGGGCTCGCCCATGCGGTGGCCGAAGTGCCCCGCGTGCCGCGTCGCGTCTCGCCGGGACCACCCGTGTCGGCCCGAGTCGGGTCCTGCGGGTTGGCTTCAATTGGAGGGTGGAGCGGGGAGGAGCAGGATCTGTGACACTAAACGAACCTGCTGACGGGCGCCGACGGGCCTGACTCGGCAGCAGCAGGAGGACGAAGCATCATGGCAGGGGCAGGCGAAGGATATTGAGATGATGATGATCATGAGGAAATGCAGCATGAGGAGGATACGGAGGCAGGGGTGGCGGAGGCGGAGGTGAAGGACGAGTAGTGGGAGAAGGAGCAGTGGAGGACGTGGGACGAAGAAGAGGAACGAGAACGTAAGAAGGTGGAGGATAACAAGAGGAACGGGGTGGAGGAGGCAGGAGGAATAGGCGCGAGCTGAGGTGTGCTGCCGGTAGCCATTTTGGCTCCGGTCGCTCGTGAATGATCCTCACTCTGTAGCCGTTCTCGGCGTCTGGCCAGGGCTGCACTCGGGGAGGAAGCAATGCCGTAAGCGTAAATGGTCGGAGATCCGCGCGGATGTTCTCGGATCCGCGTTGGGCCCCCGCCTCGCCACCTCCCCCGGGCCTCGGCAGGGGGCGCTCGGGGGGAGGGGCGTGCCCACTGTACCGCGTGGCGACCAGCGCGAGGCTCAGCGGCCGCAGCACCTGCTCCAGAAGTGGCGTCCGCCACGATAGCACTCTGGCTCTTGGCAGGGTCATGAGCGCGGCCGCAGCGGCAGCACGCGCCAGCCTGGCAAACTCATCGGCCGCCTCGCCAGCAGCAGCATCGGTGGCACCACGCGCCGACGAGCCTGAGGATGCAGCTGGCGGCGGCGGCACGCTCCGCGTCGGGAGGGGAAGCGGCGCATGGGCATAAGACATGCGCACGAATGGGGGAACGAAGGATGACATAAGCATAAAAACTCGGCGGACCTCCCAGTTGTCCTGTCTATGCCATTGCTTGGTTCCACTGCCAGCCGCTCCCATGTTGCGGCTGGGCCCGGGCATGCACGGCACCAGGGGGCGCCTCCGCGCAGACGGCGAAAGGAGGGCTGCAGAGCGCGGACCGGCGTGCGGAGGTATCCTTTCATTGCAAGTGCGGGCGACGGGCCGACTCGGGCCGCGCGCATCGCCGATTCCTGGTCGACGTTTCCCCCCTATCCCTATCCCCACCGATCGTTGCCCCTCAACGAAGTTCTGGCCTCGGCTGACAGCAGCGGCACCGGCCAGAGGAAGTTCCCGGCGCCCGCGGCCGCCTGCTGCGCCTGCCACGAGGCGCCCGGCCGGGGCGGCGCGCATGGCAGCCGTCCTTGCAGGCGGCCAGTCTCGGCACCCCGTGTGCTGGGAATCGGGGGCGGCAAAGAGGGGGGTGATGACTAGGGGGGGGTGGATATCATGGCGTTGGCCATGATATTTCCCCAGATTTCATGGCGCCTCTTCCTATTTCAATACCTCCCTGGCCCCCCCCCCCCTTGGGCCGCGCACATGCCGACAGCCATGATTTGCACCCCCCCCCCACTCTTGGACGCCCCCCTCTTGGCCGCCCCCGAGGGAAGTGACCCTCTGGCCCGGGAGGGCGGCTGGAGGGAGGGGAGGGAGGGAGGCGATGCTCGATAATCAATGGTTTTGATGATTGAAGCGTTTGGGAGGCTTCCCGAGGGCCCTTGGGAGCTTTGTCTGGGCAGCCCAAGCATGGATTCTAGCCGATTGGCAGTGACGTGTTCTAAATTTCGATCTGGGTTTGTACAGTGGCGTGCTCCCGAAAGATTGTGCGCACCCGTAATTGTCATTGTGTCTGCATTGATGCCTCGCGCGAGTTCTAGACGCATAGGCCCGCCAACTCGATGAGGACAAGTCCATCGGCAGCCATCATGGGTGAAACACGCATCCATGTCCGCGGCCTCGCGGGCCGGGCCCCTGGGCCGCGACCCCGCAGATACGGCGGCGCTGTTTCGCGGATGCCCCGCTCGGAATGTAACCGCGGGCTCGGGGGGGGGGAGGGGGCGATGGCGAAGGATCGAGGATCGAGGAGGTAGAAGGAGGAGGAGGAGCACGAGGAGGAGGTGTAGGAGGAGGAGGTGGAGGAGGAGGAGAAGGATCGAGGGTCGAGGCCCAGATAATAAATCATATACCCCCCTTTCCCACCCGAGAGTTGGTTCTCCCCAGCCAAGACAGAGTTGGTCGGCGGGGGGCGGCAGGGCCGAACCTTCTAATCGGGGGGGCAGGTTACGACTCGAAGCTGAAATCTTCTTCTGTTGAGCAGCAACATCAGCAAACGTGTGGCATGGCAATGGGGTTCTCATCATTTCAGCTTTTGCTCGACGACTGATTCGTGCGGCGACGACGACGACGACCTCCTTTTTCCCCGTCATCTATCCCTCGTGCGACTTGCCGGGGCAAATCGTTCATTAGCCCCCCGAGACCCCGAACTCTGCCATCCCCCGAGTGCTACCCTCAGGGGCATCGGCTTATCCGTGCGACCACGCGTCTGAGGGATCGCGTCCCGGAGTCCAGACCGCGAGGGCGCGGATGCGCAAGAGGCCGCCCCGGGGAGGGCGCACACGCCACGCCACGGCCAAGTTTTGCCCTGGCCAGGCGCGGTGGTGGCGCGCAGGTGCCTGCCTTCCGCGCCGCGTCTGGCCGTGGCGGCGTCGTGGGGCGGCGGTGTCCTGGGCTGCGCGCCACGAGGCGGACGCCTCGCGGCGGCGTGGGCCTGGCTGTAAGTCTGGCGTGCTCCTCTACAGGAAAGATGAGTATTCCAGAGTGGTACAAGATAGCCTGCTGACGATGTTCGTGCTCTTCTGATTCTTTCTGATTAGTGTTTGTTTCCTGAAGGTTTCTTGCAACATCCGCCTGCAGGAGGGCATGCCCGACCTAAGGCTGGCTCGGGCCTCGTGCGAGAGGATGCGTTCGCCGCTCGTGAATCGGCGGACGCTCTCTATGGCCTCCCCGCCCACCCGCGCTGCAGCGGAATCCCCGCTCAGCAGGCGTTGTCCTAGACCTTGGACTGCGAAAGACCTGGGGCGGGAAACACTTTCCGGGACGTAAGTGTATCGCTCGGGTCCTTGGGGTCTCCAGCGAGGAGGAGTCGCTACGATCGAAGTGGGTTCGAAAAGAACGGGTACGAAAATAATGGGCACGAAGACCGACAGCACTCTTTGTGCATTCTGAACAAGACTCGCTGTCGGTGCTGTCACGGACGTTGCCCATTTGAGGCAGAAGGCCACGTGCCCAACAGCGGCCGTTGTCGGTATACTTGTGGTCGGGCATCGTACCCATGTTTTTCCCGTACCCATGTCTGGCGCCCATAGCAAGGAGCGAGGGCCCATCTCCGATCCAATAAATCTGGGCGGAGCTCCGACCGTTTATGGTTATGCCGTTTTTTTCAGCCCGGGACCTGAATGTATTGTTCGTATTGTTCGAGTCTCTGGAGCATCAAGCGAGTAGGTGGGGCAGGAGGAGGATCGATGATTTTTAGGACGTGTGTAAGCCCACGCGTGTGTTCACCTCGTTCGGTTCTGCCGATCGCGCGCAGCCTGTGTCGGCCTTCGTTGCGCCGCCTACGTCGTATCCAAGGGCCTCGGTGGACAAACACACGTTGGCGCTGATACACGTCCCGAGGGTCATCGAGAGGCGGAGGGAGTTGGAGGAGGATGGGGAGGAGGGTAGACGCAGCCCGGAAGCGTCACACCAGTCCGGGCTCCGGGCAAGTGCCGCGGCCCCTCCGGCCGCGGCACTCCCCCCGAGGTCAGACCCCGGATCTCCATGGCCCCCTCTCGGTGTGCAGAGCCTCGAGCCCTGCAGGGCGAGTTTGCCTTCGGGCTGGCAAGACATGGTGGGGAGGTGGAGAGCTTGCGCCGGCTGGGGGCCTGGGATGGCCCAGCACTGGTTTCGGTCAGCAGGAGGGGGTGGGCATGTTGGAGGTTCTGGGTTCGAGGTTTTTTGTTTGTTTGCTTTGCACTTTTTGGCCTCCAGGGGCCGCTTTCGGGCACCGGGGCCTCTAAAAGCGAATCCAGGGCGAATGCGCCTTCGCGCTGGGAGCACATGATGCGTTTCAGGAAGGATCGGAAAGGGCCCCGCCCCCGAGGATCGACAGAGTTGGCATTTCCTCCTCGGCGGAAGTAAAGCGAAGTGGTTCCGCCGGCCGAAGCCGGCGGAAGCCGGCGGAAGTAAAATGCTTTCCTCAGGCGGCCGCCGCCAGCCGTGATGCGAATCAGCTTGCCATTTGTCTCCTGCCTTGCTCGCCTCTTCTCTCGGCGTCTGATCGAGTTCTTGTTCAGGGGAAGTTCCAACTTGATCGGGGAGGTTTTGTAGGATCGAGGACCGCCATGCTGTCGGTTCGGGCCTTTAAATCCAGCCTAGATCTAGTTCGAACTTGATCGGAGAAGCTTTGTCGTTCGTCTTTATCTGGACGTGTTCACTACGGGTGAACTCCATAGGACGAGGCCCACCGAATAGCTAGAAGGATGTATGGCGGTTGTTCTCGTCGGTCTCTCCCTCAGAGGGCGGAAGTACAGGATCATGGTTTCGGTATGTTTTCGCCGACTTGTCATCCCTGTCTCAGTGCCCCCTTCGGGCTTCAGCACAGTTCGAGGTGTCTTGGTATTATTTGCAATGGTTTTCTGTGCCCAGGTATTCTAAACATGGTGTTGCGCCGCGAGACATCAGCGCCAGAAAAAGGAAGTGGGATATGCGCCCTTAAGACATGGTAGTTTGGGGGGGTTCAGGTATTCTTGAATCGGCCACATGAGGGCGAAGTAGAGGGTATGCGACATCGATGTTTCAATGCCCTCTCTTCCTGCCTTTCCTCGTCCGGAGTTAGTGTCATCACTCCTTCTCACTACAATAAACGCTGCCTCCATAGACAACTTGCCATGGGTCTGCAACTCAGTCCTGTGTTTTAACAAGCGCCCTCCATGTTTCATGTAGGGTCATGTAGGTCAGAAAAAGTGTGCAGCAAGCCGCCCTCCACCCGTATATGCGTTGCAACATGCATAGTTTCTTGTTGTCGGATTGGAAATGGCGTCGACCAGTAGAAGGAAACGCCTTCCATCCGTGTCGCTGATGCAAATATTGAATGTCTGGCCGAGAGATTGAGGATGTCTCAGTCAACTACCCAATGTAGAAGAAAGCGACCTTGCAGGACGTCAAGACGGATGCGCGTGGCCCCAGGTTTGGAAGCACATTGTGAAAGAGATGGCACATGCGTCCGTGTAGTTGTCGGAACCTTGGTGACGCATCTGTGCGGGCATTCAGGCGAGAGCCACCTTGTAGAAACGAGTTGCCCTTTGACCGCGGAGTTGCTCGACGTTTTCAGAATCAGGGCATACATGATGCACATGTATCCGGCACAACGCCAGGACCGCCCTACTTGCCGATACGTTTGGTGGTTTGATGATGTGTAAACGGTACAGACGACGACGTGGAGGAGATTGACAACAAGCTGGGGCGGAGAGGGGCGCCTTTGCGTTTGACTTCGTTTTTTTCAGGCAGACGGCCGAGCTTATTGGACTCGAGGCGTGAGGGGTGCTTGCCTGCTGCTTGGCGAGGACTTCACTTACCCAGAGTCCAGAGCTTGAGGCCCCCCAGATGGGGTCGGAGGTTGCGCCGCACCGCCGATGCATCGGCCATGCGGCTTGATGTGGAGCCCGGTTTTCTCCGCGCTGGCGTCGCCGATGCACCGCCGACGTCGCCGATGCACCAGCGATGCGGCGCGATCGTCCGACCCCATCTGCTCCGACCCCATCCTGGAGGCCCCTGCTTCACCAGAGAGCAGAGATCGGCCGCGGGGCGCCGCGGGATGGCACAGACGGCGCTGGGCAGCCAGGGAGCGGGCCTCGAGGAGCACCGAGGGGCGGGGGGCCTCCGCGAGCGTCCGCAGCTTCCCCCAAGTAGGCCTTAGAGGTCTCGGGGCGGAGACGGGGATCGGCGGCGGAATCCGAACCCCACCCTCGCCGATCAGCGCGGTTCGGGCAGCTCGATGGGCGGCGGGGGTAGGGTTCGGGCTTCCTCGAGCACAGGGCGAAGTCTGAGCCCTCCCCCCGCCGCCCATCGATTCAAGAACATCTATGGTTGGTACCAAGAGGGTTTGGATGTCGCCACCCAGAAAGCCTCGGGGCGGCGACGACGACGAGGAGGAGGAGGACGACGACGACGAAGCCACGAGCCCCATCGCGAGGGCCTCGCGCTGGCAGGGGGCCAGCGCGTGACCTCGAAGGCGCCGGGCGGCGGCGCTCAAGCGAAGGCCAGGCTCTGTCGTCGTCCGCGCTCGGCGTCGCCGTGTGTCGCCGTCGTCCGTCGTCGCAGCCGTGGGTTAAGTCGGACGTGTGCCTCTACAGGAGGAATATTGAACATATTTGTAAAAAATACTCTAGGGACGATTTTTCCATTATTTTTGACCATTTTTGAATCTGTCTTGACTATTTTTGATTTTCCGCCAAAATCCGCCTGTAGTATGACATGCCCGACCTAAGCCGAGGGTACATCGAATAGGCAGTGTTGTGTTAACATACACTTTCGAGTATCCGCGCGGAGTGCTCGGATCTGCGCCAGGCCCCCCTGGAGGCGCCTCCAGTGCCCCCAGCGAGCTCCGCGCGCCAGGAGGGGTCTGGCGCAGATCCAGGAGAGCCGCTCGGACCTCCGAAGCTTTCTGTTTATGTCGCTGTGTGTCCTCAGATGCATCAGGAGGGGAAAAACACACAGACACAAGTCATCGTCCACTCCCAGGAAAACATGGGAAAATATGGGGATTGGGGGGGAAGACAAAAACCAAGAAAGTATAGGAAAATATTGGGAATCCTTTTATTTGTGTGTATTTATTTGTGTGTCCCAGGGCCCCTTCAACGTAGGATATCGGTTTTGGGGCGCTTTGGGGCCTCTCTGGACTTCTGGGAAGGCGCCCTCGTCGCCACGGCCAGGTCCGCTTGGAAGCGACTGTCAGATTGCGCTCCGGGACGGGTCTGGGGGTCGATTGCGATACGGAGGAGGAGGGGGAGGCGGAGGAGGAGGAGGAGGAGGAGGAAGCGAGGGAGGAGGAGGAGGATGCGGAGGAGGAGGCGGATTGCGAGATGGAGGAGGAGGATTGCGAGATGGAGGAGGATGAGGAGGAGGATTGCGAGATGGAGGAGGAGGAGGAGGAGGAGGAGGAGGAGGAGGAGGAGGAGGAGGTAGTAGTCGTCGCCGTGGCCCAGTATCATCAGCACCATCCATCAGCAGCGTCATCAACAGCATCAACAGCATCATCATCATCATCATCCCCATCCTCATCCTCCTCCTCATCATCATCATCATCATCATCATCAACAACATCAATATCAGCACCAACATCATCAGCATCAGCATCAGCAGCATCGTCATGGTCGTCATCTTCATCTTCTTCATCATCATTTTCAGCATCATCATCATCATCGGCATCATCATCATCGTCATCATCGTCACCGTCGTCGTTGTCTTCGTCCTCGTCGCCGTCTTCGTCAGAATCATCCACGGTGGAAGGGCGCGTGTGTTGGGCGCGCTTGTCGATATCTTCGGCTGCGCTGCTGGACCGTTTCCACCAGACCAGCTCTGATCGGGACCCGCGGCAAGACGTAGATGTGGACGAGTGCGAGGCGCGGAACGTGGAGCTCGGGCCATTCCTCGACCGTTTTGGGAGGGGCCACATTGAGAGCTAGTGGCGTAGCCGCATGCGGTCTCGTACAAATTTCGGAGTTCAACCGACGGCTCCAGTGGCACAGTCCAGATGCGTCCCCCCGCCCTGCCTGGCACACCCCTCACACGTTTCGTGGCCCCATCAGGAGCTCCACCGAAGGCCCCAGTGGCCATGTTCGCGAGGAGGAGGACGAGGAGGAGGAAGAGGAGGAGGAGTAGGAGGAGTAGGAGGAGGAGGAGGAGGAGGAGGACCTCCCTCCCCTTTGCGTTGCATCCCTGCCCCACCCCATCCATCGTCCTCTCACCCTCGACACTACAGTCTCTCGATCCTTCCCATGCCCATTCCTCTTCCGTCTGTTCCCTCCGCCTCTCCTCCCCGTCCTCTCTCTTCATCCCCTGCGATCCCCGTCCGCTCGCCTTGCAGGCCCAGGGATGGACCACGGTGATGATGCGCAACGTGCCCCACTCCTACACGTGCGACAAGCTGATCGATCTGCTGGAGTCCAACGGGTTCTCGAAGTGGTTTGATACACCCCGCTTACGCCACTCCGCCGGCGTTCAGCAGAGGAGATATCTATGCGGCTTCCGATTTCGTGTGGGTTGTTGGCCGCTTCCTGTCGTGCTGCCTGCGCGTAGTTGTCGCTGGTTTCGAGCAGGCAGACAAGGCCAAGGCCGACCACTCCAGTTTGAATGCAGGTTCTCGAGCCTTGCGACAGGCAAGCAAAGGCAAGCAACCTGTCCCTAGCCTTGCGCCGCTAAGCCTTTAGACCCAAGGCCTAGCCGCGCAGGACGGACGAGGAAGGAGTTTCGGCGCCATTTGGGCCCAGTGCGGGCAGTGAGCCCCCCGCGCCTGCTGCTGATTCAAGCAGCCGCCTTGCCTCGGGAGAGCAGGCTGGTCAGAAGCCAAGCCCCCCTGGAGCTGGAGATCCCCTTCAAGCTGACGCCGCTGCCGCCCCCCCACTCGCTGCCGGCTGCGCACCGACGTTCGCAGCAGGGCCGCCGAGATTGTGGGGATCGAGAGCGGGCAGGAGCTTCTCTGCCTCCAAGCCTTTTTTTGGACTCCGCGTTCTAATGTTTACATGGGGTCGTGAATTCCATGTTCTTTTTTGACAGACAAAGAACCATGAAGGTCCAAGGCAGCCACCCATCAGTTCCCGACCCAGCTCCTGGGGAACCGCCAGGGCCTAGCTGGATTTGGTCGGGGTTCGTGGGCTCCCCGAGTGTTTATTGTTCAACGTTGCAACCGAAGTGTCGGGCAGGGGATCAGCTCAGAGGTGACCAGACATGACCAATGTTCATGTGGTCCGTTTGCAGGAGTACCGTCGTAAAACCTCTGAGGACATCAACCAAGCCTCGGCATGTGCGCTCCGACGTGGGTGGACATCGATTTGGGCTCCTGCACCCCAAGGAGACCCCATGGGCACGCGAGGCGACACGGCGACCCGTGTTATGTCGTCCGCGGGGTTGCACCCGCTCGGTCGGGCCGCACGCCACCAAGGGCGAGCGGCGGGAGGCGCAGTTAAGATCCCAGGAGGAGTTCGGCATTGCTGTAGCCAGTGTCTATTTCCAGCACGGCGCCGGGCTCGCTGAGCCCAGCTGTTCGGTCATAGCGCCTGTCGGTGAGTTTTACCACGTCGTCGGGGCTACCATGGATCGTTGGCGGAAGCTTCAATTTGGAGCCTCACGTGTTCCAACAGAGTGGTTTCTTCGAGGCAGCGAAAACGGGAGCATATCAAGTCGATTCAGCCTACCTGCTAGACAACAGGGGCACGATAATGAATTATTTGTTTGGATAGCCGTGGCCCTGGCCAGGCCATCGGATCAGCTGTCATCGATGGGAGTTCGGACCTTGTTCCTCATTTTCGAGTGTTGATCATTGTTTTTCTCATTGTTTTTCCTGAAGATCCCCGAAAGCCGCCGGGGATCGGATTGGGCCGCATGATTGACCCTCCTGTTCAGCCTCCGCCCTATGCCCTGGTGCGCGCAGTGCTGGGCGGGCCCGTGCAGCCGGCTACAGACGGCGATGTAGAAATCGCACAACAAGCATGTGATGCGCAGTGCACGCGCTGGGCGGATGTTGTTGAAATCGAACTGTGTAGCCGCGCGGGGGCCAAACTTAGGGTAACAAAAAGCGACAGAATCATCAAACTCGGAGGTCCGCGCGGATTTCTCGGATCGGCGCTGGGCCCCCTCCTTGGCGCGCGGAGCGCGCGAGGGGCGGCGGCGCCGGGAGGCCCCAGCGCCGATCCGAGAAATCCGCGCGGACCTTAGAGTTTTCCTACAACTCCCTCGCATTGGCCTCGCCCCCCCCCCCCCCCCCCCCCCCTGCAAAAGTCCACGAGGCGTGCGCTGCCGAAGAGGAGCGCATCGGCTTCACCTTGAATTGCGTTGCGGCGCGGGTGTGCGAGGCGCGCGGCGGGTGGCCGCGCGTGGGCAAGTTGCCAGGCCCCGCGCCGCAGCCGCCGCCGCAGCTCGAGCTCGCCCCAGAGCTGTACGAGCGGCGCGACCTCAGGCGCCGACGGGGCGGTGGGTGGGGGCGCCGCCGGTGCCGCCGCCACGCTGCGCAGTGCCGCGCGCAGGAGGTGGAACATTGCCTGGGGCATGCGTCCGCCCGCTTCGTCGTGGACGTCTGGGCCCAGCAGCCGCGGGCACCGCCTGCGGCGCGCGGCGGATGTCGCGCGGTGCTGCCTCTGCGGCCGGAGCACGGCGAGGTGCCTGGCTGGTTCGCGGGCGGACTGCCTTGGCGGGCCTTCGAACGCGCCCGAGCTCGACGACGTGGACAGCAGGCCAGTCCGCGAAGAGGCGGGTCACGGACCCCCTCACGCGGCGCGCCCGCGCTTGTCAGTGCGACGGAGTGGGAGGCGCGGCGCGCTGGACAGCGACTGCCGCAGGGGGCTGCGGCGACCGCGTAGCAATTAGGTGCCAGACGGGCGCGGCCCTCTGCACACTGGCAGCTCCCCCCTCCCGCCAACGCGATTTGGAAAGGTATTTTGCAAATTCATGGCACGGACCATGGGCGCCTATATTTGTTCCCGAACAGGTGGCTGAGTTCCATGCTCACGTTCTCCGGCGTCTAGCGCCCCGCCCCCCCCCCCCCCCCCCCCCCCCGCCCGCCCGAGCGGCGCGGCCCCGCCCTTGCCGAAGCAAGGGCGCACCCCCACCGCTTCCCTGCACTGGGCGCGGCGACGAAAACATTGGTTTGGATCGTCCGCCTCTGGGTTCGGCGAGGGGGGGCTCAGATGCGCCGTGGAGGTCTGCCGCGCCGACGTCGAGACCGCCAGAGCTGCCCTCGCGTCTGCCCCTCCCGGGGCGGCCAGGGGCCAGGAAGACCCGGCGCCTGTTTTTCGCAAGACGCAGCAGATGGCTGCCAGCGCGTCCATTTGCGCCGAGCCAGAAGGACACGTCAAGGAGCCGCTAGGGCAAGTTGCGCAGGCCGTCGAGGCCATTATTTGCGACGCGCGTGCCAGACGCCAGGCGTCTTGGAACCAGTGGATTGCGGCAGGCACCCATCAGCGAGCTAGGGGCTTCATCAGGTCACTCCTCAGGGTAGAGTGGTCTGCCACTGCTGCCCTTGCCAATGACGGCCCCGTTGTCAGCGACCCCCTGCCGGCGCTAGCCTCGGAGGCCGTCGCGTTTCAGACTCTCTCGCAGGCGAGACTGGCTGGCTGACAACGGTATTGAAGTATTGCGCGGGGGGCGCGCCACAGGACATGGGCAATCTATGGGGCCACGCGTGAACCATAAAGGACTCGTGCCGCAGGAATCGGCCAATGTTCAGGCACGTGCGTGACGCGCCGCGAGAATCGAACATTCGTTTCTCAATGCCCTCGTCCCCCGTTTTTCTCGTCGGCACACGCGGGGAAGTATATGCATGCGCCCGCAGTTGCGGATCAGAGTGAGGGTCGTCCGCAGTTGCGGATAAGAGTGAGAGGCGGGCGGGTGGTTTGGTTTCGAGATCTTCTGCGTTTCGAACATACTCGCGAGACCAAGGAAACGAAACGCCCGACTTTTGGCACGCCCCAAACAAAGAGACACTATTCAAGCAACAATCGTACTCTGATGCGTTCTGATATGGTTGATGCCGATGATGATGATGACGACGCTACCGATGACGAACATGCTGATGATGGCATGGTGATGACGATGGTTTACCCTGGTGTTCATAATTCTGGGGGGGGGGGGGGGTGGGGGGGGGCAAAAGACTGAATAAGGAGCATGGTCTCCGAACCGCTCGCGGCTCGGAGCGAGGAGGAGGAGGGGGGGGAGGAGCAAGGCATGAAACGAATTGGGAAAGAGGTGCCGAGGAAGCCGACTGCGAGAGAGAGAGAGGAGAGAGAGAGAGAGAGAGAGAGAGAGAGAGAGAGAGAGAGAGAGAGAGAGAGAGAGAGAGAGAGAGAGAGAGAGAGAGAGAGAGAGAGAGAGAGAGAGAGAGAGAGAGAGAGAGAGAGAGAGAGAGAGAGAGAGAGAGAGAGAGAGGCCGCCCGGCGGGGGGGGGGGGGGCAAAGCCACCCGCGTCCAACCCTGGTTTGAGGTGGGTAGGTTGGCCTTGCCTGCAAGGGCTTCCCTCCGCCAAAATAGTCAGAGGTTAAAAGACTTGGTCGAAAAGTTGACCTCTGACTTGTGCGTTTCTGTCCTCGCGAACGAGGCGTCTCGACAATCCTGAGTCAGGCGGCTCGATTAAAATGCGAGCCACCCTGAAAATGCGGAGTAAGAAAACGAGACACCCCCCGACACAAGGGGCGTCTCCGTCATAAAACGCGACCAACTTTGACAGCCCCCCACGCCATGATGGCGGTTGCGACGACGTTAGCGACAGTACATTCGTGGCGAGCACTGTCCGCGCGAGGGTGAAGATTTTCCCGGCGCGGTGGAGGGGTGCTCATGTTCTTCACTTGTTCTGATTTTCTCGCGCCACCTGGCGGAGGGCACCCTCGAACGCCCCCCAGCGGAAGGGCTAGCGTTCTCGATGAATGTTCTTCTTTCTTCGCGCGCACTGCAGAACAAAGTTCGCGTTGCATTATCCTCTGTTGTTGCCGCGTGGGGCATGTAGAATCATAGAACTTCATACCAAACGTGTGGTGTTGGGCCCTTGTTCTGCATCAGCAGTGCCCATCTCCCTTCCTCTCCACCTTTACCTCCACCTCGACATCCACCTCCTCCTCCTCCAGAGCCATTTTGGCGTTCGAACGCATGACTTTCAGAAGAAGACCGACGCCTAAGAACGCTTCGAGTTCCCTCGCAGAACGATGGCCGAAACGGCTGCCGATATTGTATGGCTCACGTTTCGGATCTTGGCTGGACACTCGCACTGACGAGGCTGGCAATGTGTGTAGGGTGCCGTGCTTGTAGCCACCGTGGAGTTCCTCCTTGGGGTGATTACACCGCTGCGTTCAAAGGCTTGAACCTAAGAAACCGCTGGAAGCACCACCGCAGCCAGAAGCGCAAACAACATGTTGTCAATTATGTTGGCGAAGCACATGGCGATGGAACTAGCTCTTGCGTTGCGGGCGCCCCATCCG